AAAAAAAAAAAAAAGAAAACATAGGGGGGAAAGGAGACTTGTTTTTAAAGAAACTATTATCTGTCAAAATACAACTAGAATATTTAAAATCATTCTAACCACAGGCCTTTGAGATTTCTACAGAGAGAAAGTGATAAAACTTTATTGGGGAACATAAAAAATAATGTTCAACACTGTTAAGGTATCAAATTTTCTTTTTCAAACCTATGAGTGAATGAAATTTCCTTTTAGAAAGTTAATCCTAACATTCCAACTTGGAAGTAAAGAGGTGGGGGCAGGAGGAGGAGTGAGAGGGGAATGTCCAAGACAGTTTTGATACTTATCCTACCAGATCTAAAAAACCAAAATCAAACTCACTGACATAAAGTCAATGCTGACTCATAGCTGCCCCCTGTGGGTTTCTAAGACTGTAACTGTTTATGGGAGCAGAAAGCCATGTTTTTGTCCCTAGCAGCTGCTGGTGGTTTCAAACTGCCAACCATGTGGATACCACCAGGGTTCCATACTCTACCAGATAAGATTTATCTATTTATATGGAACTAAAGGAGCCCAAGTGGCATAGTGATTACCTATTAGGCTGCTAGCTATAAGGTCAGGGCTTTCTACTCCCGTAAAGAGTTACAGTCTCTAAAACTTGGGCAGATCTACCCTACCCTGTCCTTAGAGTTGATTTACATCAGCATCAACTTGATGGCAGCCAGTTTTGTTTGTTTGTTAAGTAATTCTAATAATATAGAATCACTGAATAGGCCTGAACTCAGTGGCAGTGGGTTTGGTGGTTTGGCTGATGTAGGGGCTACCCCCAAACCAAATGGGTTCTAAGGAGTACCTGTATAATTGAAGGGTAAATTAAAGTAACATCAGACATGGCATGCAAGGGCTCACCTCCTCCATGGAGTCAGGAGCCAGAGAGGGAGCCAGCATATGCTCTAACAGGCTTATGTAATCATCAGGCATACAAACCACATCATGCACATACATAACAGGAAGGGCATGTACTAGAGGTATACCCGTATATAGGAAGGGGAGGTACTAGGGGCATACACGTGACAGGATGTGCAAGTATTAGAGGTGCATACTTAACAGGATGGGCAGGTTCTAGAGTTAAGATGTCAGCTTAACCTTGGCCATCTCTGAGCTGGCTTGACCTTAGATGTCCCAGAACACTCTTCCAGGGAACAATCTATGATTAGTATCAGAGGGGAGTGGGCCATGCTTAAGGTGGAGCGAAAAATAGAATCTGATTGCTCTCAAAGGCAGACATATAGCAAGCAACCAGGAGCTTGTAAGAAGCATTTTAAGATTGGCATTATTATGGGGACATTGTGGGGAATATCTTTTAATTAGGAAAATGTGACAGGAATTCATCTTCAACTCAGGAGCATGAAGGCCTCCCCCCACTAGTCTCAGCTTCCCAGAATTTGTCTGCATTCATTCTCTTCCTGGTTCTCAGTTTGCCACAGGCTGGTATATGGTAACTAAGTATCAAAATCAACCTGATGGCATAAAACAACAAAGTAAGGTAATCCCCAATTTAAGATTAGGCTCTATTCCAACAACTCCATCGAAGGTGGTTTGATGTTAAGTCAATACCTCATATTTTTAGCAAATTATAAAATTGAACATCTACAATTAATACAGCTAAGAATATATTAGTAATAATAAGATATATAAAATCCAGCCTATTTTAAGTACAGTTCATCCTAACACAACTGTGCTTTAAATCGGAATGCCTCTATAGTAGGGATCCTGGTAGCCCCATCAGGTATGTGTTGGACTGTTAAGCACAAGGTCAATGCTTCAAACCAACAACTTTTTGCAAAAGCTATCTGCTTCCATGAAGATTTACACCCTCAGAAACTACAGGGTCACCTGAAGTTGGAATTTGACTCAGTGGCACTGAGTTGGGAGTTTTAGAGCCTGGTATAACGCAAAGAAGCCCTTATGGTTCAGTGATTAAGAGCTTGGCATTCGAAATATCAGTGGTTTGAACCCACCATGAGAGAAAGAGGTGACTGCTGTTAAAAAAAAACAAAACAATAGAACAGTTCTACTCTAATAAAAAGAACTCACTGTGAGTCAAAATCAACTGGTTGGCAATGGGTTCGGGTTTAGGTTTGGGTTTGACATAGTATGGTAGAAGGTTAAGTAAATAAACTACTTAACTAAAAATAATAGATCTACAAATAGACTCACATATATCTCAGTATGTGGCATTTGGTGAAAATATCATTATAAATCAGTGGAGAGGAATGGATTATGCATTAAAGATGTTGACAAGTCACTAGATAAACAATTAGAACTTCCCCCACACCAAATATATAAATAAATTCCACATAGGTTAAAGGCCTAAATATGAACAGCAAAACTTTAACTTCTAAGAGAAAAAATTTTTAAAGAACTTTATGATAATAAAGAAAGGAAATGCTTCTTCAAACATAAAAGTACATATCGAGACCTATAGCGTCTGGGGACTTAAAGGCTTGAAAGTAAACAAGCGGACATCTAGCCCTGAAGCAACAAAGCCCACATGGAAGCAGCACACCAACATGTGTGATCATGAAGGGCCGAAGGGACCAGGCTTCAAACACCAAAGGCAGGGGGTGGTGGGGGGGAATCATATCCTCGCCAATGAGGGTGGTGCATGATGGAGACCCAATGCCCATCTCTGGACAACTGGACATACCTTGCAGAGGGGTAGTGGGGAGATGAGTCACTTAGGGTTCAGTATAGCAATAATGAAACCCACAACCTTCCTCTAGTTCTTAAACGCTTCCTCCCCCCAACTACCAGGACCCCAATTCTGCCTTGCAGACCTGGTTAGACCAGATGATGCACAGCGGTACAGATGGGAATTGGAAACGCAGGGAATCCAAGACAGATGAACCCCTCAGGACCAGGGGTGACAGTGGCGATACCAGGAGGGAAGGGGGTGTAGAAAGGGGGAATTGATCACAGGGAGCTACATATAACCTCCTCTCTGGGGGATGGGCAGCAGAGTCGTGGGTGAAGGGGAGACGCCGGGCAGTGTAATATAAGATATAATAATAATTTATAAATTATCAAGGGTGCATGGGGGAGGGGGGAAGAGGAACTCGAGGGGGAGGGGGAAAAAGGAAAATGAGCTGATTCCGGGAACCCAAGAGGAAAGTGAATTTTGGGAATAATGAGGGCAACAAATGTATAGATGTGCTTTACACAATTGATCTATGTATTGTGATGAATTGTATGAGCCCCAATAAATTGATTTTTTTAAAACATAAAAGTATAAATAAAAAATGAACAGGTTTATACATTTGACTATTCAAAATTTAAAAACCTCTGTATGACCAAACCATAACAAAGAACAAATAACAAGCCAAAGACTGAGAGAAGACAAAACACTTGCAGAATACTTAAGAGAGGGTTGATATACAAAATAATCCCAACTCACTAAGTAAAAGATCACTCAATAGAAAAACAGTCGAAGTATATAACAGGTAGATTACAGAAAAGGAAACTTTCAAGACCAATAGGTACATGAAAGGAAGCCTGGGAGACAAAGAGCATTTATAGAGGTCTAGATAAAGGCATGTACATCTGAAAATATATTTGTATATGCGGGTGGGGAAATAGATCTATGTGCATATAGTTGTAGGTTTAGTATTAAGGTAGCAGAAGGACATTGGGCTCAAGGACTCAAGTACTCCCTCAATGCAACAATACTTTCTTCTATTAAATTGGCATTCTATGATGCTCACCTTCCCAACACAACTGCTGAAGACAAAGTGGGAAGCAAATGTGAAGAAAGCTGATGGTGCCTGGCTATCAAAAGGTATAGCGTCGGGGGTCTTAAAGGCTTGAAGGTAAGCAGCGGCCATCTAGCTCAGAAGCAACAAAGCCCACATGGAAGAACATATCAGCCTGTGTGATCACGAGATGTCGAAGGGATCACTGAAGACAAATGGGTGCATAAGCAAATGTGGCAAAGAAAGCTGATGGTGCCCAGCTATCAAACGGTATAGCGTCTGGGGTCTTAAAGGCCTGAAGGTAAACAAGTGGCCATCAAGCTCAGAAGCATTTAGGAACTAGAGAAAAGTTGGATTTTTCATCGTTGCTACATTTCACCCTGGCATGTTATACAGCAAAGGAACTCTTGCCACTGGTAAGATTAAGAATTGGTACAATTATTTGAGAGATTAATGTTATAAAATCTAGTTATGTTGAAAATACTTCATTTCTATTATTTTAGGTACATTTTGGATCTGGACAAAAATTTTACATGAATGTGCAAGGAAGCATGTATAAGAATGTTTACTACAGTGTTTTAATACTGAAATTAGAAGCAACCTAAATATCTAGCATAAAGGAAATACAATACTGTATTAGAATGACCTAGTGCCAATGGCTGAGTTACAAAAGCAATGAGAGATTCTCCTGTGGATACACTGCAGCAAGGAATGTGTGGGGAGAAGGATCACCAGCAGTAGCCTCAGGCTGATGATTCCTGTGAGGCATTGGTCAGACATGCCTCCACCCTCTAACCATTTTTTTATTTAACCTATTCTGACGCCAACCTTCTCTCCCATGGCACTCTTTCTTTCTGTGCTGGGTTCAAAAGTTCCCTGCACTGGTCACACAGAAGTCACCATACCCATCAGTTATGGGATTTAATAGGAAATTAACAGATTACAATTTAGGATCAGAAACGACTAGGATACATAACCTTCTTTGTTTAGGACAGGTCTTCTCAGCTGTGCCTGCCGGCAGATCTCTCCCTGCATTCATCTTCACCCAGCTACTTGGATCCCTTGCCTTTGCTTTGCTTGGGCAAGTGATGCAAAGTTCTTTTAAGTCTGCAAGTAAGTGCTCAAAAGCACCCCTCTCCACCAGCAAGCCTACCACCCCAAAGAACTAAACTTTCTCACTCTGTTATCTTGGAAGGCCACTGCTCTGTCTCCACTGGTCTGCTGACCTCCTGGTTCTGCTGTCTGCTGCTATCACTTCTTTGCCACTACTCTCCACTGTCTCTCACTATTTCCAGTGTCACAGCTCTCTGCCTCCTGGATTGAAGAGATTCAGCACAGGGTTCTTGGAGCCAAAAGATGTACTCTACTCTTTACTCTTCTTTCTCAATGTAGAGAGATTCCCCCCTTTGCCTCTGGGTTGGCTCATTTTAAGCCTTGTGGGATGGCAAAAATATTAGAGTTCCATACATCTTATTTGCATGATCCCAACCTCACAAGTGTGCAATGTACCTTATTGACAGTGCTAGCAAGCTATCCAATCCATTCAATGAACCAGTCCTGGTGGCACTGTCAGATAAATGTTGAAAGGCTAGCCTCAAGGAAGGTGAGTCAATCCCACTAGCCACTCTGTGGGAGAAAGATGAGGCTATGTGCTCCTGAGAAAATGTCCAGTCCTGGAAACTCTATATTAGGTTCCCTGTGAATCAGAATCAACTGCAATAGGTTGGACCCGGCCATTTGGTGGGAACACAAAGACTGTGATTCAAATAATCACATCATTTATGAGAGGGCTTCAAAATGTTTATCTTTTCATTCCATTTTCCTACAAAATTTTAATGGTCCGCATTTCATTCATATGAATGAAAGAATACTTTGTTTGCCTAAGGTACTACAGCAAACTCAGATAACTATCAACATAACTAGATATTGTGAGCTACTTTAAAATTTAAGGGAAACAGTGATACTGGACTTAGACATCAACAAACTATTAGTTCAACATAGTTCATTAATTCAATATAAAACATTGCATTTCTTTCTCTGGTGTCTAATCTTTGCAGAGATGGATTTTCGGTGCTTACTGTGATAAGAACAAGTACCATGAGAAAATCAATATAGAGCAGGAAATGAGTGTGATAGTTTCGAAGTTTATTGCAAGGTTTGAGATATTGCTTGTTGCCAAGTAATAAGTGTGATTATTTAAGAATGAAATGAAGTATTATTCTTTTACTTTATGTATATTTTCAAAAAGCTGGTTTAAAATAAATACTAAGCTGTTTGAGCTTAACTACTTTAGTAAGTGAAAGAACCATTAGGTTTTTTATTTTGTTTTGTTTTTGCCTAGAGATATTGTGGGAGAAATCCTTTTTTTTTTTTTAACATTTTATTAGGGGCTCATACAACTGTTATCGCAATCCATACACACATCAATTGTGTAAAGCGCATTTGTACATCATTCTCAAAACATTTTCTCTCTACTTAAACCCCCGACATTAGGTCCTCATTTTCCCTCCCTCCCCGCTCCCCGCTCCCTCATGAGCCCTTGATAATTTATAAATTGGTATTTTGTCATATCTTGCCCTGTCCGATGGTGGGAGAAATCTTTCAGAGGTTTCATGAAATGAGAAAACCTGGAACCTTATATGTATTATGTAGGGTACATTAATGAGTAGCCTTGGTGGTAGAGTGGTTATCCACAAGTTCAGCAATTCGAAACCACCTGCTGCTCTGCAGGAGAAATGTGGGGCTTGCTATTTCCATAAAGAGTTACAGTCTCGGAAACTCACAGGGACAGTTCCACCCTGTCCTATAGGGTCACTTTGAGTCGGGTCATAGAGTCAGCATCAACTTAATGGCAGCGAGTTTGGTTTTTTGGTAATGAGTAATCAGAGAAGAAAAATAAGGCTGAGTATATAGGTTTCCTCTGGGAAGGGGAGGGAAGGAGAGTTAAATAGAAGATGGATCTCATTATTTTTCTGTTTTCTTTCTATCTTGATTTATTTGCTCTCATTTTTAAGAAATGTGTTAAATTTGGATAACATCATACTGAGAGACAAAATTGAATAGGGTTTAGGAGTAGTATTCTCGCATCCAAGCTACATTGCTTACCAGCTCTCTGATTCTAATGTCTTAATGTGTCCTACATTGCAGTTTCTCATCTAGAAAATAGTAATAACTTTATCCAAATAAATTATCCTTATTATTTTTTGTTTTGGTGTTTGGTATTTTGAAACATTTTATAATTAAAACACTTAAAACTTACAGTACACCAGAAGAATTTTGCAGCTACCTTAGTTGGGGTTTTTTGTTGTTTTTTAATGATATTTGACAGGAATGACATAAAACAACCTTTTTTTGTAGCAGTTAATTTGGGACTTTTCCCCCCCCATGCAAAAAAAAGTTGTTCTTTCTTGGTTTTGTTTTTATTTTTGGTAGGAAAAAAACATCCATGTCACAATCCTTAGAATGAATAAAGTTGAAATACTACATAATTCTCATAAGACTAATGGTTTATTTCTTAACAATAGCTGTTAACACAATTTATAGTTAACTAATTCTTATTTCCTTTCTTTTTCATCCTTCTACTGAGATATCAACATTGAAAAGTATTCAGATAGCATACCAGCTGACAGCGGCATTTCTTCCTTCAGACAGTTTGAACCTGTTTGCAAATTTCATTGGACAGAAGCCTTTAATGATGAAACGGCAACATTTCAAAATCCCACGGAAGGCTTATATTACACCGAGAAGTCAAAACTGCAGAATCACATGAGTAATTATGAAGAAGACAGCAATACAAAGAAAGATCTAGTGGAAGAAAAGCAAGTGAAAATTATCATTTCCACAAAAGAAGACCTACTCGCCAATAAGTCTGTCAGTAAACATTCTAAAAGTCCACCTCTAATTCATTACTATGGAGAGAAACTGGCCAAAAATACTGCCAAAGGACCTGCCTTCATTTCTACTCAACCTCAGAGCTCCTTGTACAAGCAAAGTGATTCTGAGGAACCAAGTAGTAAAGAGAATAGCTTTACCCTGCTCGAACTGAGAACTAACTACAAGACAGAGGTAAATTTCTGAAAGTCATTAAACCCTGTAGCACAGTAAAGAAGGTGTTTTATGTATATCTGTGACTTTTCTAGATAATGTTAAATCAGCTAATCAATACAAGTGACCTCCTTCCATTGATTCTAAGAATCCAGTCAGAGACTGTAGCCTAGTCTGAAAACACATTTTTTTTCTGATAAAACCTGATCTATACTTGGGGAGTGGTATACTACCAAATGATAATTTCTATGAGCATCAAGACTGTCTTGCTCTAATAATATGTAGCTGATCAAGGATTCATGATGGTATGGGGGGAGAAGGGGGAAAGAGCTCATACCAAGGGCAAAAGTAGAAAGAAATTGTTTTGGAGATGTTTATGGCAACAAGTGTGCTTAATATTGAATGATGGATTGTTACAAGACTTGTAAGGACCCCCCAATAAAATGATTAATTTTAACAGAAAGAAGCTGTGTTAGTCTAGGTACTTTGGAGAAACAAATCCACAGCGACTCATGTATAAGAGAGAGTTTTATGTAAAGAAAAGGTGCATCACGAAAACATCCCAACCCAATGCTGCCCAAGCCCACAAGTCCAACATTAACCCATTAACCCAACACCAGTCCACAAAGTCTTCCACCTCACAGAACAGAGGCAATGATGCCAACTGCAGGAGGAAAGCTGAGTCAGTGAACGAACAAGCATCTCAGCGCTAGCAGGGGTCTCCACATGGCTGCTCCAGCACCCAGGGCTGCATCGGGATAGGTCCATGTGGCTTCTCCTTGGGGATGTCTTGTAGGAAGTCAATCTTGCAAGCTGAAGCAGGGAACTGCTAAGGCAGCTGCACCCAGTGCAACCATCACAAAGCAAGAGACCCGAGAACTAGAAAGGTGAGGCTTCATCACCCATTTATCCCTCCGCCGCCTTTCAACCAGCCCCACATGTGATTATCGGCCAGGCTGGCACAATTAACTAACTCAATCCACCCCTTGCCAACCTGGCACCTGTATATAATTCTTAGCTTCACAATTGCAATTAACACATATACCTTAACCCTATAATCCTGTGAGTTTTTTCCCCTACCTTTGAAAGTTTGTAAGCCAACTGCTTCATTCCTTTATCTCCCCCAATTTTAATTATCCAATTTATATACTGCCCACTTATATCAACCCAGTTCTCTGAGAAGACAATCATGTTTTTCGACACGAAGTCTTCATTCCAGTTGGAACCTTGTGAAGTCTGCATCCATAAGCAAAGTCAAATCCGGACAGGCCATCCATAAAGTCAGCAACAATATGCACCAGTTCACAGGCTCAAAAGTCTCCAGCTGTTCAGGTTCTGGTCAACTCAATGTGGGCTGCCTCACTCAGCCTCCACAGGGTGCCCATTGGTCGCCTTTCCTTCGGCCATGGGCTCTCACCAACTCAAGCCTAGCCCCCTCAGGCTAGGTCATGAACCTTAGACCAGTCAACCCGCTCTCCTCGTCTCCTTTTTCCCCTGTAAACCAAGTCCACAGGTGTCAGTGGCCAAACTCAACCCGTCTCTTTATTGCTGCATTTCTCCCACTTCCACTCAACAAGTAGATCCTGGTGTTCACCTACTAAGCATTTCAGCCTGCTCACAGGCTCCCTTTAACATTCAGTCCCAGAGAGGAGTTTTCTTCATGGTTCCAGATTTTTTCCAGCTACTGACAAAGACTACTGGTTCCTTAGTATTCCAAAGCACTGGGTGGAACATATATTTTCAAAGCTTTTTTATAGCTATGGCCTAAAGCCATTTTAGGATCAAATTTTAATGACTGAAGCAAGTGGACTTACAAACTTTCTATTTTCCTACTTCCCAGAAAAGCAACCAAGTAAACAGTGTGGCATTATCTGACCTCTGGCTAGACAAAGAAGGAAAACTTCCAGGAGGGAGAGGTCAAACAAACATCTACTCTCTATCTTATGATTTGTTTCTCCAGTACCCCACTCCCAAGGTACCATAATGTATTAGTCAGAAGCTATAACGAAAAAAACAAACAATAAATAAAAGACTGTATTGCTCACCTTTTTATGCACCTTAATCATGGTGCCTTCAATCAAATACAGTTTTATATTTGTTGAATAAAACTGACTGCAAAGAGGAAGGAATGCTGCTAGATTAATTAAATTATTTGAAAAGACAAGTTAAGATTTTCTATCATTTTGGTCTTCTGTCAACAACAACAACAACAAAAAGATTTGTCTTCCTAACCAAGTGAAAATATTCTGTTCTCTTGATCTATTGATTCTAGGTGCACATGTAGCATCTAAAGAATGCTGAAGATGCCAACAGTATAAATTCTATGTACTGACTGAACGCCCCCCCCAAAAGGGTTATTTATACTTGTCCACCCCACAATATAAGGCTAGCATAAATGATAACTTTTTATTGTGAGTTTGATAAGACAAACCATGGCCAGTGTGTTCATTTTATAAGTAAGAGAAGTTTTTTATTCATTTATTTCTGGTAGATGGCAGCATTTAAAAGAGAAATTTTAGAGATAGCCAAGAATAGCTCAAAGGGATTTCAAGTTCTCACCACCCTCCAACATCAAATTAAAAGGAAAAAGCTTACTAGATGTGGTTTTATTGTAATTACTTAGAATTTGAATAGCATGTTATAACCATTCTCATAAGTTGAACATCTGTAGTTTTATTAAGCTATTTATTGGACGGTGGGTAATAAACATTCAGGATTTAAAAAAAGAAATTTATTTTCCCTTTTTTTCTTGATTAGGGTTTCTCAGGATTGTTTTATACTTTTCATTGCATTGAGTTATTCAGTTAGTCATTAATAAATAATTTCAGGCTTTCTAGTCTGTGGTAGGCCCTGTGCAATTGGTTGGCTGATACACTGGTTTAAAAAAAAAACCAAAATATGCATTTCTTGTCCTTCCAAAGACAACATTCTAGTAGTAGAGGAGACTGACATTAACCAAATAATTAGACTAATAAATGTATATTTGCATCTGTGGTGTGACTATAAATTACATGTACCATGGGAGTCTATGGTAGTTTTCCAATTATGACTGTCCAATTTGCATACAACAACTTATTTAGTTACGAACGAACCCCTCACATGTATTTCTGAGTTGTCATAATATACTGGCTTGTTTTTTTTTCAGTGCCACAAAAGCTGTATTGTTGGCATCAAGTCACCCATGAGGCATGATCCTTTGGCATTCTAATGTTTATAGGAGTCATAGCGTAGTAGAGTAATAGTTTAAATTTAAATTTAAATTAAAAGTAAAAACTTATTCAACAGTAGAGTAATAGATACATTTATTGGCTTTAATTCCTTTAAAGTCCAGGTAGTTTCTTACATTGTGTTCAGAGAAGGTTTCAGTCATAGAAAATGGTGAGAGAGTACCCATGTTGAATTTTTCTTTAGTAAAAGTTCATGTAATGCCATACTTTATTACATTACCTCCTGTTTATGTTGTGCTGTTAAGTACTTTATGTACATTTACCAAGAAATTCTTAGAAATGCCCTACAAGTTGGTAAATTAAGTGCTGGGGAGCTAAACTGGGGGTCTGACTCTAAAGCTCATGATCTTTCTACTCATTCCCACTTATTTTATTTACTATAATTTACAGACTACGGTTCCAAATGAAATACAGTGTTCTGACAAGATTCCTGAGGCATCAGTTAATCACCAAATGGAATCCAGAGTGGGGGTCGTAGAGAGCCCAAGGACCTTCTCCACTTGGTCCCTAGCAGATATTTCCTGGAGTTATCGGGAATCTAGGGAGGACTGTAAGACCTCTGACACAGAGCAAAGCTTTGAAAGCTTACAACCTTTGGAAGAAGATTTGGATTTAAGTGAAGTCCTACAGAAATTAAAACACACCAACAAAAAACAGCAAACTCGAATTCAAGACCTGCAGTGTAGTAACATGTATTTAGAGAAGAAGGTTAAAGAATTGCAGATGAAGATGATCAAACAGGAAATGTTGGTTGACATTATTAATAAGCTAAAAGAGAATGTTGAAAAGTTAATTGAAGACAAATACAAAGTAATACTGGAGAAGAATGATACTGACAAAACACTGAAGAACGTGCAAGAGATTTTATCTAACACTCAAAAACATCTTCAAGAATCTCAGAACGAAAAGAAAAATTTACAGCTTGAGCTTAAGAAGATCAAGATGAGTTATATTCATCTTCAGGAAAGGTGCATGGCAGAAATTCAGCAAAAAAGTAAATCAGTAAGTCAGTGCATCAAAATGGACAGAAACTTAAGCAAGAAAAAAGAGGAAGTAGAGAGACTGCAAAAAGCCAAAAAGGAATTGGAAATGGCCACTGCTTCCGCTCTGGACTTATTGAAAAGGGAAAAGGAGATCCTAGGACAAAAGTTCCTGTCTTTCCAGAAACACGAAAAGCAAAACTTGCAAGAAAGTCAGAAACTGAAATCTAGTCTTGACAAATTAATTGCTCAAGTTAAAAGTTTGCAATTCATCTCTGAAAACGAAAGGGCTAAGAATGTGAAACTTGAACAGCAAATCAACAAAGTAAAAAGTGAAAATGCAGAACTTCAGCAGCAGCTTACAAGGAGTGGGGAGCAAAATTATGTCCCTAAATTTGAGCAAGCTGAGGTAAAGGAACAGTTGGAGGATGTTATGGAATCAGCATTTGTAAAGGTATTAATGCAAATCCGAATCTTTAATGGAAAATTTCAGGGCTTTCAAAGAGTCTAGCTATGCATATTTAGGTCCCTATAAGCAACATCATTTGACTGGTAGTGGTTCAAAACCACCAGCCTCTCTGTGGAAGAAAGATGAAGTCCTCTGCTCCCTTAAGCTGTTAATCTCAGAAACCCACAAGGGCAGTTCTACTCTGACTTTACTGAGTCACTATGAATCAGTATATCATGCCCTCGTGTTTTTTCATCTTCCACCTTTTAATCCTATGGAGACATACCTATCTTCCTATAGCTGGTCAGTCTTAGCAAATTGGCTTTATGGTTGTTCATGTCAGGATTTCAAATATTATCAAATGGTTTGGCATTTAAATGTATTAAGTTGTTGAAAGTGTCCTTAGTGGGCCTACTATATCAATCTGTAATAGACCTAAGTATTGTTTGTAAGGTGTTCTATTCATAAGACATCTTAGTAATATAGATAACAAGATTCTTTTATTCTCTTCAGTTTGAAAAAGCTATCTGTATGATTTGTTTTTCTCAGAATAAATAACAGATTATCTAATCTGGTGATTCCCAAACATGAAGCTACATCTGAATCCCCTGGAGTGGGGAGATTAATGTACATTACTGGACCCCCATCCTTGAGTTTCTGATTTAGTTTGTCTGGAGGGTATAGGAAGGTTGAGAATTCCTAACAAGTTCCTATTGCTGATGCAGCTCACCTAGTATCACAGCTGGAGAGCCATTGAGAAACAAAGATGACTTTCAGTTTAGTTCCTTAATCACAAAAAAATTTTGAATTGGTGGGCTCGGACTGAATTGGTTTTATTTCCTGTACAGAAGTTTAGTGCAATGTACAACTTTGTTTCATGAACGTTCTTTTTAAAAAACAATAAAATATTTGGTCTTATCTTGACTAATCAATTCTTTTAATCCCCTGCAAATCATACTTACTCTGTTTTTCAGTTCTGCTTTTCATAAACTCTAGATTAGCATTCTTAACGTATTGTCGGGGGTATATATGAGATCAACACTATTTTCATAATAATTTTAAGGTCTTACTTCCCTATCTTGCATTCTTCTATAAATATACACTGGAGTTTTCCAGAGGCGGCATGGTATATAGTGATGTAATTGCACTCATGCTAATGGAATATGAAATAGCAAAAGTGAAAATTCAGCTGCCTTTACTTAAGCTTTTGTTTTTAAAAATGTACTTTTTCATTAGCCAATTGTTATTTAACATGTAATACACTTAATATTATTTAAACAAATTTTGTAAATTAAAATTTTTTTCTTAGTTGTAATTTCTAATATAATAATATTAGTAGATCTAACTCAACACTTTCAGGGATCCTCTCAAAAGGGATTCTTAAAAGTTTGAGAACCCGCCTAGGTAAGATAGGCTGGACAAACTATTTGAGAAGAAAATAACAGGACCAACAGTCCCAGAGGGACATGAGAGTGTGGGAGGTAGGGGAAGGGAGGAGGTGTTGGCCAACCCAGGGACAAGGGAACAACAATTGTTCAAAACCAGTGGCAGGGAGGCAATGGGAGGACTGGTAGGGAGTGACCAAGGGCAAGGTAACTGAGATGAATTACTGAAACCAGAATGAAGGCTGAACATGGTAGTGGGACAAGAGGAAAGAGTAAGGAAATAGAGGAAAGGAGTAGGAGGAAAAGGACATACATAGAAGCTTAAATACAGACATGTACATATGTAAATATATTTATGATTATGGGGGAAATAGACCTATGTGCATATATTTATAGGTTTATTAGTAGGGTAGCAGGTAGACATTGGGCCTCATCATGCGCATTCCCTTAATACAAGAGCACCTTGCTCAGCTAAACAGTCATTTCATGATACCCACCTTCCC